CAGTATGGCTAGACCAAGATGTCTAACGGACAGAGTCCTTTCATAGATTTTATTACAAAAGACTCTGATTCATATGTCAATGACACATCACCATTCTTTGATTGTGAAATTGTCCAAATTCATCAAAATTGTGAATTCATTTATAATACAATAAAGCAGGATCAATCACACTTTCAACATTGATCGTGAATGTGGCAATAAGACGTGGAAACGATTATGAATCAATGTTTTATATTTTTTAAGTATGCTCCAACAACTGTGCTAAGGCTTCGTCTGCCGCTATAAAGAATGTCGGCTTACTTCGGCGAGTCTTTGGCCGGTTTGAATCATCACTATTCCCACGTTTGCTATCAGCGTACATTCGACCCTATACAGAGTACGCCATCCAAGCTTGGAGTCCATGGCTTCAGCGTGATCGCAAGATGCTTGAGCGTCCACAAATGATGGCCATCAAGATGGTCAAGGGATTTCAATACCTGTCATACGAGGACAGATTGCGATCATTGGGACTATATTCCGCTCAGTATCGCCGAACTCGAGGAGACTTGATTTTGACGTATCAAATACTGAAGAACCCAAACCATCCGTGTCGATCGCTTCTCATGTTATCGAACAATGTACACCTAAGGGGACACCGTTTCAAACTACTGATTCCAAAGTCTCGACTGGATTGCCGGCGCCAGTCTTTTGCTGTCAGAGTATGCAAATCTTGGAATGCCCCTCCATCTCATGTCGTTTGTGCACCCACTATTGAATCTTTCAAGCACAGACTCGACAAAATCTTGGCACACCTCACATTCGTACACTAAAGGCAAACGGGATTCACTGTAGCCTACATTCTCTATCTCCTACCCCGATCCCTATGTGACTCCTTTTTTGATGTGTAACGATTCATCTATGTAAACATCCTATGGGACAAGAGAAGCACCAGCTTGTAAGCTATTCCCATAATAAAACTTTGACTTTGACTTTACTAAACCAACGGAATATCATGTGCAGAGAGTAACCCTCAGGCTCTTAGTCCTCAATGGGTGAGTGACTCCGTTTTCGAAAGGTAGAATTCGACAAGTCCCTTCACACCTGTCTATTTTCGTCGGGCAGTAATGCTTTTGACACATCAGAACAAACATTTTATTTCATGAATATTCTTGTTCATGCGTGGCACTCGAGACCACAAAGTCCCGTACGTCATTCACAGTAGGCAAGCAGTTCCATTGTGCGAGGGATAAGCGTGTCCACCCACTGTGTGTGTGCTTCAGACACGCATCGGAAGCACTCACTGTCTAGCCGTCAAACCAGGGCCAGGAATCATCAACGCTGGTACAGTTTCCAAACTCGTGAGTGAAAAGATAGTTCAACTATCGTGGATTGTAAATCAACTATCCGAGGTGTTCTGTTCTCTGTCAAATGGCTTGGTAAAAAATAAGTATATTTTTGCTCCCCGTAAGAAACAAACATTTCAAGCATAAAATATTCCCTATTATTTTTTGATATCATCATCTACGACTTTATATGTTCTTAGAGTTAATGCTAATTGCTGAATAGGTGCATCGTGCCGCAGTATTATGCCACGAACGTGTGAATTAGTCTAAACAGTTGTCTAGGGAGATATTCTGATCACAGGCTCAATTCCCCATGGAATGCGCTGTGTCCACGAAACCCGAACAAGTCAGCGTTGCCTCTCGCACTTCCTAGGCGCTAAGCAGGATAGATTTTGTTCTTCATGTTACTGTCATGAGAACTTACCTCCAGTCAGCTCTGATCTCACTCAGTAGGGGAGGAGAGCTCTCTCGTAGCCCCAGGGTGATATAAAAAAACCACAATTGTGGTATAATGCATTTGGTTAGTCTTGATTCTTGGAAGTATTCAAATTACTATTTACTCTGATCCAACCGGAAACTGGTGGTTATAACTATGCGACTATTCTGTTATGTTATTTAGATTTACATTTACATTACGCATCTTTAATTCCTGGAAATGGAAGGTTGAAAACTGAAACCAAATTGTTTTTCAAACCAAATTTCTCAACTGAAAAAAATTTGAACTGATCTTATATTCAGTAATAATTATTTTCGGCTCAGTCCACAGAATAGTTAGCACAAATAATAGAGAAATAGTAAACAATCAAACAGTTTAAGTGCCTATATTATAATTTGATGTAAATTGTGCATAAAACGGTGAAAAAATCGACAAATTTAAATGACTTAGGTGGTAGTTGCTTACTATGTTATGCGTTTTTGAAGTGTATTAACCTGGTGATAACTAGCACCAACACAGCCTAGTTAGTTTGTGCTTCTGATAATTAGGTGAAAATACAGTGTTCCTGGTTTATAATTAAAAAAAACCGGCTATACTCTGCTTTTAATGCTTTTCGGTGATGAATTACATGTTGACTTGACAAGACAAACAAACTTCCATAATCAACTCAAACTTCCCATACGGTTGTTGCTAATTTTGGTCACATTTCAGTTCACTATTCAGGTTTGAATCCATTTAACCGCCAAATTGGTAATGTTCCTTCAACATTCATGTTCCCGCTAAGGTTGGTCAATAGATCCTAATTTTGATAGAGCTCAAGCTACAATATATATTTTGCTACCAGCTCTCTCACCACCAAATGGACTAACTCTCGACCAGATGGACGTTCCCATACTAACGAATGATCTCCTAAAACAGACATTTCAAGTTATTTTTTTAAAAAGCTTCAACAATATAGATTTTGGTTTTGCACCTAATATCCTTTCAGCACCGCAAGCTATTACTTTGAAGTCGAAAGTTGCTTCATATAAAATAAGTTGATTGATAAACCAAATTTTATTAGTAAACAAATAATAACAATGAATAAATGTTTATATTTTGTTCTTTACTAAGTATTCAAACATACAGTCAACTTTTAGGAAGAGGTTCGCGGTGAAACAAAAGCTATGCAATTTACCACGAGCTTAGGTCTGATAGTTTTGTTTGGCATTGATGATGTAACGATGTATTCGATTATCAAAAAGGTTGGAAAATAACTTAGTGTGCTATCATGAATTTATTCAACTTTTTGAATTATTTCTACGATAGTGTTCTATTCGAAAACACTGTTAACCGATCAATGGCATGCGTATCCCTGAATTCTCATTTCCAGTCACAACATATGAATGTTCTGAGCCCAATCTTTTCATTTTATAGACTATCACTGACTATAATGAGAACTGTTCTAAAACGGCGAACCTGGTGAAAATCAAATCCACATATTAAATAAAACTGATGCTTTGTGGCATTCTTTGGGTTTGCGTTTATATAGATTTATGAATCTCTCCCAATTCAACCGTACCTTTTCTCTTGCCTACCAGGCTAACTGGAGTATATTCCAGAATAACTAACTTTAGGGTTTTAGTTAATAATTATTAATAAATTTACACTAAAATAGCGTTTTCCCGCAAACTTATCGCTGGAAAACAGACTGTACATCTAAAAGGTTTGTGCACTCAAAGAAATTGGTTTTGTTACTCTTTTGGAAGCAAATTTCGCCAAACAAGTTTTCTATCGTATATGATTTCATGCATTTTGATTCCGCTTTTGCACTTGACGGCTTTCAAAATTGATTTAGAAAAAAAATCAACGTCAAGTACCCTAAAAGCTAAATTGTAAACGTATGTCAGACATCAATTGATAAGAGTGGACTTTCTATACAACATACACGCAAAAGTCATCAGTATGAGCTGGCTTCTAGCTTCCAGGATAAAAGCACATCCTAGACGAATGCTCACAAATTTCTAAAAATACTTTGACGTAAATGTAGTCATTTTTTCTTGCTTATTTGACATTCCAAACAGATCTCAGATTACCAGCCAGTAGAGCTTTGAATAGGGATCAGACAGAAAGCTTTGGTTCAAGAAATACATTCCTACCTATATCTTCTCATAACGCTTCCTGCTAACCTGCATCGACAGCTTCTAAATTTATGCTCACTGTTTAGCTGCATGGATGCGTTTTACTTAAATAACAGAAAAGGAAGCCAATTTTTGTTGCGTAGGACTGTAAAACAGCCAATATCAGCTAACGTAACAAAATGAATGAATTATCCTCATAAATGATCAAGATGTGGGCAATCATTTTTTTGACGGAGTGAAATACCATGTGCACCCTAAACTTGAAATTTTCATCCAAAGTAGGTGCGTTCTGAAAAAAAACAGTGGTAACCGTCTCGATAGTATGTGTACTCATTTTGCCGGTCCACTACTGTACTACATCATCCAGTCAAATGCTCAGTGAAATTTCCTTTGATCTCAGATGACTGATCAGGTCAGTGGTGGAATACAATATAAATTTGCTGATAAAACTTAGACCTGGCGGTGATGGTCAAGTGGTCAGGTCGTCAAATTGTGACTCAGATGTTCTGATGCCGAAACGCCCCACTGCCGCCCATCTTCCCTATTTCTGCATTTTCCCTGGCAGCTTTTGTGTGGTCGCAGCCTCATTCCTGAAATTTGGCCATACACTTCTATATTCAATAAACAAAAATAGAATTAAAACGACATTTTTCAATTTTTGACCGGTAAATGGATAAACCATTAAATTCTAACGCAACTAATGTTTTCAATATCACTCGGATAATTAAAGTATTGAAACTTTCGGTTAAATTTGTCTGACTGATAAGCTTTAATTAGCTTTCATTTACTTCCAAATAATTAAAAAAGGATTTTACATCTTAGGCAACCCTTTATGTCAAATAAAAAATGAACTAAAGACAAACTAGACCATAATTATATTTTTTGATTTTCCATCATCATTTTGGTCTTCGGCTTTAAAACGTTTCATATATTTTCCAATGCCGCAAACACCCTATTTTATTCACTCACTCAGGGTACATCTATTTTGTTAGTATTCCACAACACAACGCAAATTTTATTTTATTATTAGATTTGCATTATACTTCTAGGCTTAACATTGAAGTTTGTATGGCATAAAATAAAAAATGCGTTATTAAAACAATTAGAAATGAAACTCAATGGTTAATTACGGACCTTTAAACCCATTTCTACTGCTTTGAGGCGAAGCTTCTGTTCCAACTCATCTAACGGAACACCCTGCAAGACGAGCGGGGAACAACCTTCAGGGATGTTAAGTGGCGTTCGAGCAAGAGTGAGAAATCCGTCAAGGTGCTCCGAGTGATGCCGAACGAGTTCCACCGGGCCGACAAACCGTCTTCCTAAAAAGTAGACACGAATTTGCGAAAACAGTGAAAGCACCATTTCTACATAAAAGTTTTGCTTTATTTTGTTTAGTGAATATTCTTTAACAATTTCTACTAGAAACTGCTGCTTTAAAATAGTTGGAAAATTTCTACCGATGTGGTCATGTCCTTTGAGAAAGGAATCACTCAGGTTTGAGACATAGAACATAAGTTCATCACTTAAACATGAGAATTTTTTACACACATAATAAATCAAAAAGAAGTCAGAATCACTATCACTCACCTGTTTGTATTTTGAAATATCCGTCCGGTTGACGTTCTACATTGTAATGATGAACGCGATTCATATGACAAATAGAAATGACATAATTTCCATTGACAGATTCACGGAGCAAAAACAGTCCTTCTGTTGCCTTGTGAGCAATAAGTAGCTGTTCTGCTTGCTCACGTGTCACCTTCCCGTGAAAATACAGTACAGATTCCGGTGGAATGGCTTCAGGAAGAAGGGTGAATGTTGTGCTAGCTGCAAATTCCGTGTGCATTCTCGAAGGGGAAACGGAGTGAGACTTTGCCATCTGCAGAAAACCACGAAACATTCGAACCAACAATGTGATATTAAATAAAATTGTATGGCTTTGTTCATAAACACCCATAATATCGAAACTTTACCTTGAAAGAAATGATTATGATGATAGCAGTAAACTGTTTATTGCTCGTGAAAGGCAAATGAATAGCATTCATATGAAATCAGAACGTACCGAAATGGGGACAACAAGTATGATTATTTGACAATTCAACAGAACATTCAATATTGTCAACCATGGTCTCCTAAGAAATGATTCTAATTAGAATATTTATATATATTGTTCATATATGAACAATAATTTTGTTTATACCCAAGTAGCACGACAGTCACCGTTGAGTCACCGGTGACTCACCGGAAAGTCACCTGAGAGTCACCGACAGTCACCGTTGAACAAGCTTTTGAACAAGCTCGGTGATTGTCAGGGTAAATGAAAATTGGTGGCCGTATTCCAATTGTCAACTTAAAGCGATTTAAGCATTTATTCTATGAATAAAAATAACTAATAACTAATGATAATTCGCTTCGAATTATAGCGTCTTCGTATAGGTAATTCGCTGCCTATCAAATGTGAAATGATATAAAACCTACCTAAAGTTATGATTTATCAACATATATATATTTATATATGTATTCATATATATATTCGTATATATATTAACAAAATTAGGTATAGTCATGGCAAGAAAAACCCTTTATTCATCTATTTCTCACAATAAAAGACAACTTATTTATTTCTACCATCTATGTTTTGCTCAAGTCTAATAATACCAAGTTCAATAATTACCTCGCATTATTGGAACACCTTATTTTTCCCAAGGTCCTCAATTCAAAATGTGCGCGGTTTGAGGACGCTTAAGTTCATCGAAATTTACTGCAATTGGACACGACAGTTCACAGGACTTGACGCTCGAGTCAATTTGGTATTTCAGATTCAAATTTCAAATTTCACGGCGATTAACGGGAATCGACGGGCTCGGGAACCGAAGTTTTCGAGTAGCCCGGGTTTTGGTGGTAGGTTTATTGACAAAATATTGAAAATCGGTTCTCGTAGCTCGCGTGAACTGAATTCCCTTGCGCCTGTTCGCCGAGCTTGGGATTTGTTTGCAAACGTTTCATCACCAGCCGAGGTGACATCATCAGTGCTTGTGAAGTGGCCACTTCACTATTGATGACTATTGAGGAAAAAGTACTTCCGCATGTTTTGCTCAAACCTCTGCTTCACGAGCTTGAACTCATACCCCTTAGTGCCATGTTGGGAAGCTAATGTGAAAAGACTGTCCGCTCCTATCCCCGATATTTTCTTCAGGATTTTGAAGTTTTCTATCAGGCCCAGTAGCAGTCTCCTTCTTTCTAATGAAAAAAGCCCTCGAGCCTCTAGTCTTTCCCCAGATATTCTCTCCCTTTGGCCTCCAACCATTCTAAAGGCTAATCTCTGAACCTTCTTCTTGAATAAGGATGCTCAAGTCTATACAGAATACTCTAG